GGGAAAGAGAGAAAGAGTGAGCGAGAGAGAGAGAGAGAGAGAGAATAGAAAAGCCATTAGAAGCCCTGCTCTGCCTCTAAACCTGTCTTCCATTTAGCAGCAGTACCACACCCATACTGTCTGAGAATACCACAAAGATACAGCTATATCTTCATGGTAACATATACTGATACATGATTAAAAAAATAATGGGATATTGTTATGCTGGCACACATTTAGGTAAGGTAAACAGACTAAGCCAATGAAAATCCTTTACAACACACTAAATCTGAATTCACATAAAGCACAACAATAAAAACATGTCTAATTTGACAAGAATACATCTACTGAACAAGTAGCCTTCAGTTATTTATATGCCTTTCTTCTTATTATTTCTATTTCCATAAGAAATAATAATTCCAAGTTACCACTGAGGTGCTCTGAGCATGTCACTGTCCCCACTCACTGCTCCCCGGGTGTTTAAAGCTGCACACTGTTCACTTTGGTGATGGGTTAAAAGCAGAGGTCACATTTGGTTGTGTGCAGTGGTGAGCTGTGTCACTATGACACAATGAATAATTAACTTTCACTTCACTTTCACTATAACCAATGATAGGTTCCCTTCTCTGAGCTTGAATGACAGACACAGACTCGAGACCTAGCAATACCAAAGAACAAGTGTCACAGACAGGTCCACACTGTAGGCTGTCCTCTGGTTCATGAACAGTCCCATCACCTGAACTCCTACTGACAACATCAGAACATCTACCTGCTGTGCTCATGTTAGTGGTGACTTTGTTTTTTCTTTTGCCAGTGGGGACTCATGTAAGTGACCCTAATGAGGCTCGATGATCAGTGGGAACTCCGAGGTGTTCATGGTGAGTTGTGCTGTTAAGTTGACTATGATGAAGGGGTAAAATTGTGCAGAGCACTTCCAGTAACATGTAGCAACCTAACATTTTCTTACTGACAATTTGTTTGTATCAGACAATATGAGGTCAGGTTACCTCAGGTCCTTGTTTAACTAAAAACAGGTTAAGTATAAAATAAAAATTAAGTATTCTGTCATGATTGACAGGAGAACTCTTTGTACAAAAAAAAATCCAGGGATTGTATTAGCTGCTGAATGTGCAACATGTGTAATTCTTTACTGGAACATGTCAGAAATGTCATCAAGCTGTATTATTCAAGCTAAAGCTAAGCTAAACATCTATTTTGTAGGAAACCACATCAGGTTGTCAGACAATTTTAATGCAAAAGTCTGTCTTCATGTCAGGGGGGAAAAGAATCCTCTAGACATTTATGTGATAGTAGCACTGATGCAGGAACTCAAAGATGAATGTAATGCAGACATGTACCTCTCTTTAGACAACGTCTATGGTTCAGAATGCAAGGAGTTTTAAATGAGACAATCCCAGGTCTTAATCTACAAAGTGCAGCTACGTAGATCTTTCTGTTCAGTTTTGCTAGTTTTAATAGAGAAGATAACCAGGCTCAGTAACTGCAGGCTGTTGAGAAGCTAAAATATGTTATTCTGTAAGATTGAGAAAAAAACTTTTTTTTTCAAAACTGCAACAACTCCTAGGAATGCGTTGGACTGCTATATAACTTCATGTTAAACAAGAAGTTTATGGTTTAAAACACATTGGATGTCATTTCTGATATATATATATGATAATTTATCACGTCATTCAGTTTGGGAGCTACACTGCAGACAGAGACAGCACCAAACTTTGGTCTTTGTCTGTGTCTGTCAGAAACCAGAGTTTATGGCTGAGAGGAACTCGGGGGTCGCCTAATGAGAAAGTGACAGCCTGAGACACAGAGCTTCAGACAGAGACGGATGAAAGCCCCTAAAGCCATGATGGATGGCTACTCTGACAAAGAGGACACAGCCCAGTCCCACAGAGGTGTGAAATAAGGCAGGTCTCAGTTCCCTCTGAACAACTTAATCCTAAAATCACATTCGGCCAGAACAGCAACCTTGGCCTGTGCAGTAGAAGTGCAGCAGCAGTCTGTCAGTGATTCTGAGAAACATGTCAAAGAGCAGGAGAATGATGGATGAAGGAGTGATCCCAATGCTTTGACCTTTGAAGACTAATTTAGAAAAGACACCAAAGTGTTGCTCTTAACACTTTGGTGTCTTTCCTAAATTAGTGAAACAATCAAATGTAACAATCAAAGAGTTAAAGCGGAAAACTGTTCAGACTGAACCTTTGGGGATGAAAAGTATAAATACACTATAATCTGTCCTTCCACATCCACCTCTCCATAGGCAAAGTATAGCAACACCTACAAGAGAGAAATGGTATACAACAGTCTATAATATCTCTGCATTTTCTCTTTTTAGTGCACATGGTGGATAGATGTTTCAGTGCATGAACTGGGAGGTGTTAGATATTCAACTTGCAGTATACCAGCTGTGTGACAGTGTATGAGTATGACAGCTATGCAGTATGTAAAGAGTAGTTTAAGACAAGGTGAATAAGCGTTGAGGAAATATACATTTAGGAGACTACGTGTATATTACTGCCCTAAAACATCCGTCTGCCTTTAACCTCACTGTGCGCTGACTATTACACTCTCTCTACCTGACCCTCACCTCTCACTCTGGTTGCCTCCAGGAATTAACAAAAAGAGGAGAAAATAATAGGCACTTGCTGGGCTACAGAAAAATATTAATATTGAAAAATAATGTTGTATTAGTTTATGTAACTAATAAACTACAGGGTAGAAAGGGGAACTGCAATGTAATTGAAGTCGCATTCTTTGACTTTATACAACCCCCTAGAATTCCTCTTCTCTTTCTCTTATAAATGTCCTCTACTACAGCTGTTTAAAAATTTAGAATATTACACAACTGGTTCCCTGACTTGTTAGAATTTAGGCTCCTATGCAGATGGAGGAGAAGAAGCGGCGGGTTCTATACAAGGAGTAGAGCGATGAAGCTGTGGTACTAATGGGAGCAGTGGTGCTGTGTGTGACTCATCCTCCACAGCCTCCCATGCCTTTAATCATCCCCCCGAGGAAAAAGGAGGAACAACAATGAGGAGGAAATGCTCTGTGTCTCAGCGTCAGTGCTGCACAGTTGTACTGACGTATGCAGCACAGACTGGGACACATTAAGTGACTGACAACCAATAATAATAGGATTAACATAAAAATCGGAATGTGAGAACTGCCATTAAATTGCCACTGCCACTGATAATTGAGTTTGTGGACAAACTATAGACTAAAAATTTTGTTGGCATATTATAGAAATCTGTTTTAGACGCAGACTAAAATCCACCCAAAGATTGGACCTTGGTGAATTCTAATTGAATACCCTTGTTAATAAATTATTGCTATAGATTTAAACAGTGAATCAGCACAATGCCAACTATATCTGTCTGTTTGCTTCTTTTTTATTTAACAACATATTGCACATTTCAACTGTCATGAAAAGCCTGTGTTTGGATTGTTATTAACATATTAGTATCCATACAATTTGAGAGTCTAATCAACTAAACCGTTGCATTAACCTACAGTTCAGAATAAATGAATCAGTGAGAAAAGAAGTGTAGATTGATAGTTTGTGCTGATGTATTTGCTACTAAATCATTGACGGTCAAATGCATTATACGATCTTTCCACCCTCTTTATGTGACAATGGCAGCTTTGGTTAATGTCAACATGTTCCTGCAGAACCTGTATTGACAAAATGCCACTGAAGGGTTAGCCTTTTTTGTATAAGTGACAGAGAAACACTGTTTATGGAGGCACTGTACCATCATGGCTGATAGTGTAAAGAGCTAATGAGCTGCTGTTAAGACTGTTTAAGTGCTACAATAATGCAGTCCATTTACAACCTGCCTCTCATTCATTCGTTGACACCACAGCATTCTCATCAATTCAGGGTCTGATGTTTACAACAGAAGTGATGTGTCATTAGTGGCCTGATCTTACCCAACCACTAAAAAAATCTATCTATCTATCTATCTGTCTATCTGTCTGTCTGTCTGTCTGTCTTTCTGTCTATCTATCTATCTATCTATCTATCTATCTATCTATCTATCTATCTATCTGTCTGTCTGTCTGTCTCTCTGTCTATCTGTCTATCTATCTATCTATTTGATATCTATCATTTCCAAAAAACTACAGCAAACATAGCCACTGCACAACTGTGGTCTGAGCCTTTACAAACTTAGTAAAATGTGGAGAAAGCTGTGTCTGTAAAGGCTCAGTTGTGCAGTGGCTAAGTTACCGTACCCAGAAAAGTTGAACTATCCAACCAGGTATTGCATTCGCTGCCTAAGGAGGACGTCAGATTGCTGCATGCTGACTCACGTTGTACAGTATGTCCACCCATCCCTCCATGGTGATGCACTGGAAAACGGTGAGAATAGCAAAGAGGATGTTGTCAAAGTTGGTGATTCCAAAATTGGGTCCAATCCAATATTCCCTACAGGCGGTGCCATTCCCGCAGGTCCGTGCTGGAGCTTCCAAGCCACAGGGGAACTCGGCCGTCTGCTCACCTAGAGACACAAACATGACCATTGTTACATCCCACTAAAACACAGATCCTACGGAACTTTCACAACAACTACTTTTTCTTACCTGTGTCTGTCCTGAAGCAGGTGCGATGGAATTTTCCCATGTAGAAGTCAAGGCCAATGATAGCAAACATGAGGATAGCAAAGAAGAGCAGCAGGCCGATCTGCAGCAGAGGTACCATGGCTTTCATGATGGACTTCAACACCACCTGAAGACCTGAGAGCACATTAGACGAGGTTGATGTATTTAAGAATGACATAATATTGAGTACAAGAGCAGAATTGGGGCAGTGGTGGCCTAGTGGTGAAGGAGGCGGACTTCGGTCCGGAAGGCCCCAGGTTTGAATCCACCAACTAAAGGAAGCGGAATTCGGTCCGGAAGGCCCCAGGTTTGAATCCACCAACTGCCAGGTTGCCACTGAGATGCACCGGGCGCCGACCACGGCTGCCCACTGTTCACTTTGGTGATGGGTTAAATGCAGAGGGCAAATTTCGTTGTGCATGGTGTGCTGTGCTGTGCTGTGTCACAATGACTAATAAAGATAAGTTTAAGTTTAAGAATTCAATGTGCAACTTTATGTTGAATGGTCCATCACACATTAAAACCTAAAACCACACAGGATAGGTACGGGAGATCAAAACCACAGCTTATATTAGCTTTACTTAGGTAAAGTTGCTACGTGTGTAGACTGCTGGGGAGCTCCCATTGAGCAAATACACCTCTTATAGCAATTATAATAGTAATAATAATAATAACAACAACAACAACAAAATAATAATAATAATAATAATAATACAGTTAACTTACTTGGAATACCAGAGACCAGTTTTAGTGGACGCAGAACTCTGACTGCCCTCAGTGTTCTCAGATCAAAATCAGCCCCTACAGTAGCCAGGATCCTGCAGCAAGACAGATAAATCAACATTAGCCGTGACAGCTCTTCGTCTTCCAGTAGTTTGTCACCTAAAGGAGCAGCCTTAGGTTTACAAATACTGTAGAGTGAAATATGTGATACAATTAAAACCATACAACAGATAAACTCAGTGCACCATAAGGAGCACAGTAAAATGCAGTTCAACAAATGGTTCACTGGGCCAGAATTACATTTAAATAATAAAGAATGGAGGAAGGAAGTTGGTAAAAACCCTAAAAGGTCTCCAGAATTGACATCCATTTGAATTACAAATTGTTCTGCTTAACCATTTTGCCCTAATTTATAACATGTACTGCTTTATTTAATGATGAAAAGATGTGCTTTTATTTTATCAGACCTCAAAATCAGCAGCCAAAGCATTTTAAATGAAAACACTGCATTCAGCGATCTGCTTTGTAGAATTGTCCATTCAGTTGTGTGAAGGTTTGTGTGAACCTAAAAGAAGTGTTGAACCACCTGAATAGTTTCTTGTGCCTAAAGCCACTGAATCAGTTTTTGTGGCCAATGAGATGTTAAACTAAATGGCCATGATTCTTCAAGGCTGCAGACGCTCCTCCATTTAAAAGGCTATAAGCCAACAACAGAGTCAGGAACGAAAAAGAATAGTTTGAGTCCAACGCAAGGTTAAACAGTGTTGTTATTCAGGGAGCTCTATTTGTCATTGTTTGCTTGTTTGTAATGTTGGGACAAAAGATAAATGAATCATCAGAAGAAACGGAGAAAATGATTGTACTGTATATGAGTGTGTTTCACTGTTTACTGTCTGAACCTTGGCAGTAAATCATTCTTAATGATCGATAAACATGTGCTCTTTTGTATTTAACAACAGGTAAATGTACAACTGTGTGGTTTCACAGTAGTAGACTGTAGTTTACACACTGACCATCACTGTTAAAATCTATCAGCAGCATTATACCAAAAAAATATTCAACAACACACAGGCCTTTTCTTTCACATTGGAGATTTGTGTCATGAAATTGAAATTTTCCTTTCTAAAAGTACTGTTTTAAAATAAAATAAAACAAACTAGGACTGTTGAAAATAACATGTTAATTACATTAATTAGTTAATTAAAAGGAATCAGATCTATCAGATCAGATTTAATGCATTGTCATGCACCACAGAACTTAAATATGAAATAAAAATATGAAGAATATGAAATAATGTCACTGTCCTTATCACAAACAAAGGTTTTTTTTTTTACATGCTCAGCTTCTCACTCCCTGTACAATAGTAAATATTGCTGTCTCAAAGAAATAGTTAACAACATTCATGCGACACGAATTAACACACTTTTTTTTTTAAATTCTAGTGAGGATGTTGCCTGACTCTGTGACAGTGAAACCCTTTGGTAGACAAACACACCTGTAAGGATGAGGTACTTTTCAGTGACACAGGCGGCATTCCCATTTACATAATGGTGTCACTGCGTATTTGGAAAAGAACATCACACACACAGCCAGCGTCATCCTGCAGGGTCCATTAGTGGCATTAGTTTGCCTAAACTATGCACAAAAAAACAGTTCTGGGAAAGAAAGACTGGATAAAACCTATAACACCTGTGTGATACTTTCAATGAAATATGAACTAAAACTTCTCAGTGTGTTTCCAGATTGTTGGTCAATCGATGCCATTACAAGTTCTTTTTGAGCCAATAGCTGCCCAACCTGGTTTTAGCAAGACTTTCCGAATGAAGTGGCAAGGATTTCATTTTGATGAAAAGCACAAGTAAAAGGAAACAGGCATCAATTAAATTATTTTTTTTAACAAAGTGCTTTCTCCTATTTATAAACATCTATTACATCCAATAATAGTCCCAATAAATGACTATTACAATAAACTAACATTACAACTATAAACTTATAAAATAATGTCAACTAATGTACAAAGGAGAGCCAAGGTAGGGAGTGCAAAAGGTTTCTGAAATAAATATAACCTAAACGCCCTAAACACAGATGCTGCGTCAGCCTCAACACACACTGATGTTCAACTCTCTGTTTCTCTCACACATACATTTTGAGTTATTCCCTCTTTTTAGCTCTATTGAAGTGATGGAGGAGGCTAAAACTTTTGGTATGAACTGGTTTCTGGCATTTTTGACAACCAACAACACATACCAAAGTTTCTTCAGTAGTTAGGAGGAAAGAGGCTGAGCCAGTGTTGCCTATTAGACGATAATTATTGTATTGATGATAGTATAAAAATAAGCCTCAGTATGATGTATGATCAATAATCTCTGATTAGAGGAAATTAACAATAATTTGACCATTTTGTAAATGGTACTTATTAGTCTAGTTATGACAGGGGTACAAAAACAAATATTTTGAGTTCATAGTACAATAACCCTATATTTCTCAATGGACAACACACAAACGTCATGTCAAATGTACTGCGAGGGACTGTAGACGGATTAACATTGTATAGGACGAAGGCTTCACTGAGGTTTTGAAAGCATCTGTGGACATGTTCTACCAACCTCTGTTAAGATGCACAGCAATGACTACAGTCCACGAAGTCCAGTGAAAAAAATGGAAATAGTTATTACCTTTTTATGCTATATTTAAATATTTAACGTTTCCTGACATTTTTTCATATATACAATTCTATCACTTGGATTGGTCACAAATAAAAACAGGTCTGAAACACATACATCTACCTTCTGGTATTTGTCTCATGGTCCAGCAATGTTTGAAATACTATTGTCATCATCATTAATCAGCAGCTTCCCTGTGATTATTGCATCAAAAGTTTTAGTTAATTACTAATTCATTCATTAATTAGCCTTAATTAAAATATATTGATAGATTGTAAAAAAAAAGTTTTTATATATATATACATATATATATATATTATAATCAGGCTAGTGTTCATCATCGGACTAGTTCTCATTATTGCTCTACATTGTTGACGTTTTTCGATCTAAAACATCAACAATGTAGAGCAATAATGTATTGACAATAGAAGCTCTAATAGGTGCTAATGCAGGAAGAATGATGAGAGCAAGAAAGGTAATACTGTGTGAGATAATGTGATGAAGAGAAACAGAAACTGGGAGGGAACAAGGGGAGAGAGTGAAAGGAGAGAGGAAGGGAGAGGGAAGGAAAGCCAAAGTGGAGACGAGCAGAGGCGTCACCATAGAAACAAAGGAGGCTCCACTGATCTCATCAGAGACAAACAGCAAGGAGAAGCTGACTGGAAGAACGACTCCAGACAGTTTGGGAACATGTACTGATACACCTTTATTTGCAGACTTTATTGTGGAGTCTTATGAGCCTCAAAGCAGTTCTTGTACTGATTAAAATTTTCAACACATTGGATGTTCTGCAAAAATTTGAAAGTTTAAAATGTGTTTCTCACTGTTATTTCTCTAGTCTCCGTTTTATGATATGGAAATGGAATCAAGAGAATGATGCGGTTTTCACTGACAACAATTAAACAAACAAACTCAAGGTTGGACATTTAACAGTTCTGTAGATTTTTTCTACACATTAAATTAGTGTTTCCCAGTGTGGGGACAGGGCATTGCAGGAAGAGGGGTGGGCTGGAGATTTAAACAATAGTTGTTAATGTATCTACATTAAGTCAAATATAACCTTTTTTAAAATGGATTAGAGAGTGACCTTTTTTTTCCTTCTTGTGTTTGTTTACACAAACAAGATAGAGAGATATCTTTCTTTTAAATCTGTTTTGGTGTAATAAAGTTTATATGTTTGGAACATTTCATGTTATATATAAGCATATTTAAGTGAGTCAAAGCGAGCCACAAATTTTTTTCTGCAGCAAATGTTATCGACATCGCTGACATCTCACAATACGTTCGCTTACCTGTACTGACACATTCACCTCTTCAAAAGTCGACTAAATTAACAAGCTGCCATTATATGAATTTTAATCTATTATTTTTTCATGTATACACTGTTTTACTCTCTCTACGATACTATAGAAGTCAACTTGTGTAAATGTGCTGTATATATGAATCAGCGCTATGTATACAAAACTAATTTAAAAGCCTTAAATGAAAGAATGACTGTTAACAGGATAGAGATGTCATAAAGCTCGGCATTGACGCTATTTATTTGGGTTGATAGAGTTGAGCTTCAGACCTTACCATGGCAAAATACTGAGTGAAAAGGACACTTGTTTTGTCACTGTGGTTGCTATTTAGAAAACCTTCTCCAGCTCAGGGTATAACCACGTTGCGTCAGTTATTCAGTGAGAGCAGTAAATGCTATGGCAGACAGTAGAGAGAAAAAATCACTGTAACATTATCTTCACCGCCGGGAAGAAAGTGTGAAATGCTGCTGTGGTGCCAAGAAATCCCAGAAGACCCTTTGGAGACACCTCTAACTACATGACACCTCTAACTACAACAGTTCTTCTTCTTCAAAAAAAAAAACAACAATTGTCAAATAAAAAAACATATTTCTACTCTTGCGATCCATTCGTCAGGAGGCTAATATCACAGAGATTACTAACCTATTAATATGGTTGGAGTTTTTAAATGTTGTATAACACCACGCTGTAATTTTAAAACGTCTCAAATTTCATGTGACTCATGTCTAACATGTAACATTGTGCGTTTCTAAGTGCTTTAAGAACCAGGTTATGAAAAAATCATTGTGATTATTAAGTCTACTTTGACAGCGCAATGCTTTTAAAGGTACAGTTCAGTGACATTGATCAATGATGCCATAATAACCTTTCAGCGTAATGCAGGTCAATTGATCTGAGCGAAAACTAGACTGATGCACATCATCTCAGCCTGGTTTAGCTTGGTAAAAGAGACAAAAAGACTTCCACTGACTGTATATAAAGGTTTGGAACACTTCCCGCTACACTCCTGATACTGACTCTCTACTGAGCTTCAACTGTTTCTCTGCGCTTGTCCATATTGTAGCTGCTGCTCATCAAAGTCTCTGAAGTTTCAGTTCGTGAAGCTCATCTGAACCATGTTAAAGCGTGTGA